ACCCACACCCCGCCCCGTGCCGGCTCCGTGCTGGGCTCAGGGCGCAGAGCGGTGATCAGAGACCGCGCCGCCTGCTCCCCTCTCCGCGAGCCTCTCTGTGGGATCCCACACCGTGCTCCGTGCTGCTTCCAGCAGCCTCCTCTCAAAGCCGAACTCCACGAAGGCCTTCCCTGGGTTCCATGGCTGAAAGCCCAGGTCCCTCCATACCCTGCTCACCATCACCTCCCCTGCTGCTTCTCGGCCCTGCCCTAGCGCTCCCCTCTGTCTCTGCTTGGGCAGGGCCCATGGCCTGCACCCCGGCCCAGCTCTGACAAAGTCAAGAGCACCTTTCAGTCTCTGCCAGGCTCCCACCCTCAGCCCTTCTGAGATGACACACCAGCCAGCCTTCAGAGCCCTGTGGACGAGCGTCTTCCCCGGGAGGGCCGCCTCCCACAGACCCCTGACCCAAGAGTCCTCTCCCTTTAATTCCTGTAGAACTTTGTGCCTCGGGGCCCCATCCAGTCCACCCCACCCCCACAGCCCGGCCACCTTCCCCCGACAGCTGGTTCTGCAGAAGCCTCCTGGGTGTCCCCCCAGGACTGGGAGAGGCAGGAAGGAGAGGCAGACGGAGAATGGGTGAGCGAAAGCCGCACACCGGGCTGGGGTGGGGCCGAGACCGTGCTCCAGGAGCTCTGCCACACGCACAGAGTCACAGGAGGGGACCAGTGCCCAACGGCCACTCGCATCGACTAGGAGCACTTGTGAAAGTCGTGCACCATTTCTACAGTTCTACAAAGAAACGGCTCAGGAGGATGGTTTCTGGCTCTGAAGTGCTGAGAGAGGCCGGGTCTCGGCGGGGGGCACGAGCAGCTCTCTGCAGGGCGGGAAGCCCAGGCCAGCGCAGGCTGGATCCCGGCTGACCTGAACCCCCGGGAAGTGCACACCCCAGGCCCTGCCAGCCAGAGCACCTGGCCCCTCTCTGGCTCTCGCTCTCTCACAATGTCTCCCGTGTTCTCTCTCGTGAGAGAGATAAAAGAGACTAAAACAACAACGAGGAGCACCCTCACGGCACTCAGCTCTTTCCTGAGCCAACGAGTGGGCAAAGAAGCCGCGCCACCTCTGCCCGCGGGCTTGCGCCATCACGGGGGCAGCTCCAGGAGCCGCGTGGTCATCTGCAGCCAGGACTCCTCAACACAGCCAGCAGGCCCTTCCCCACTGCCACCCAGGTCACGCCCACGGGCACGGGCACCGGACTCCAGCCTCCCTGTGGTACTTTTGTCCCACTCAAGCTAATCGGCGGGTTGGACTGGCTGCGGCCCCGAGCTGACCCCGTCTCTCGGGCGGGTGTGACTCCCGGCGAGAACACCCACCATGTGACTCTCACTCACCCCGCGACACTGGGAGGGAAGGACCGTCCCCACCAGACACGCGCTGCAGCTCATCCCCAAGTGCACGTGGATCTGAATTCCCACTTGAGCACAGTCCCTGCTCTCCTAGTGTGCCGATGGCGTCACTGTCTGGCCACACCCCCTTTCTCTTATGGAACCTCAGCGGGGCTGAGAAAGGCCAACGTGAGCCCAACCACAGGCTTCCCTGCTGGGCCCCCAGGACCTCGTCTGGCGGAAGCCTCGGGCGTCTCGCCCTCGACACGGCCACTGCCAGTGAGTCTGCTTTCTAGGCCAGCCGAGGTGGACTGAGAAACGCCAGGCGGGCTGGAGGGAGAGTGGCCGTGATGACAGGGGTGCTGTGTCCCCTGAACCAACAGCAGGCCTGCTTTCCCTGCGCGGCGCTTGGTCTCAGCTGCGCGGAGACGCCCAGGTAGTAGGTTGTGCACGTTCCACGCGGGATCGCTCTGACCCCGAGCACCCCAGGTCAGGGACTGCACACCCAAATCTCAGCCCTGGCCTGTTCGAAGCTCTCCTGAGGACGACCAGCCTGCTATCAATCTGGAGTTGAGCCACAGAGCAGAATTCGACGCATCCTGGCTCTATTCATGGCCATCCAGGTCTGATGAGCCAAACCAGTCGGGTTGTTTCCGGTCCCTCTCCTCTGCCTTCACCGAATGACTCGGCACACCTGCCGCCCAAGCTGGGCTGCACGGCTCTCACACCTGCGGGCGGGGCCTTCTGTGGCCACCTGTCTCTCCATCTTTAAAACGGGGCGGCTGCTGCTTGTCTCCTTCCTCAGTCCCGTCTCCCGGTTTCTCAGTCCTCCGGCAACACCACCTGCCAAACCGAGTCGGCTCACGGTGCTGACATCAACACGCGCACCCACCAGGGAAGACGCAGGAAGAAGGGCCCCAGGAGGGTCCACACGGCACGGCAGCCGGAACCTGGGCGGCCCCCTGACCATGTCCATCCAAAGCGGTTTCGAGAGGGGCCAGGCCCGTGAAGCCAGGAGTCAGAAAGGAGCGAACGTTGGCTTACCTGGGGGGCAGACGCATCCCTCCGGCACGTCCCGAGCTGTCCGGAGCTTGGCCGCTCCCTCCAACTTCTGAACAGAGAAGAGAAGGGGACTGGGTGAGTGCTGTGGTCCGAAGGTGTCCCCCAAATTCACGTACTGGGACTTGGTTGTGATGAGACTAAGGGGTGGAAACTTCACCCTACTTTAGGGTTAAGAGGTGGAGCCTCCGGGAGGCGGTTAGGGTTAGACAAAGTCATCAGGGTGGCCCTCATCATGGAATCCTGGTGGCTTTAGGAGAGAGGAGAGAGAGCAGGGACAGAGGCCGACCGGGCGTCACTGCGGGAGTCCCTGCCATGAAGCCCCTGCCCAGACCGGTACCAGGGCCTGGACCTCCCACCTGAGGGGCCACGCGGACGTGTTCTAAGTCACCAGTGTGGGATTCCACTGTTAGCAGGAGGGAACCGGACCGAAACGACGCATTTCAGAGCACAGACGGGTCAAAGTGGAGCGATCAGCAAAAACAAATGTGTCCGAAAGATTTACAGTGGTGGGTTGTTTTCAAGAACATTTCTCCAAAGGTCACTAAATTCCACAGGCAATTTTAGAATGAGAGGAAAAACAAAAGTAAATATTGATTGGTGGAAAGAAGTGGCAGGTCCCTGCTCTGTCACGTCCTCAAATGCAGTACCAAGGATGAAAATGGCATGGGGGCTCTGAGGCCTAGTAGTTAAAGGCAGCTGGATCTCACGTGGCTGGCTGCACGATTCAGGTTCTGGACCTAGTGGCTCCAGAAACACACCAGGCACACGTGTGCACAGCCCGAGCTCACAAAGGGAGGGAGAGACAGGAGAGAAGGGACTGCAGCCTGACCATGCCCCGATGGCGGCTGCTGTCCCCTGTCCCCGAGTCTCCTTCTCACAAGTGCACACTCTCCGCAGCAAAAAGAAAGAGGGACCAGCAGATGACATAATGGTTACATCACTGAACTCCCACATGGTCGACCGCGGTTTGAGTCCCAGACCCAGCACCCCAGGCCTGGAACTCTCAATGAGACAGGACCCCGGCTAAGCCTGACTGGTCCCTGTTGGAAGAGCCCAGGACAAGGAGTCTCAAGTAAAAAAATAAAGGTAACCAGGGCACCTCCAGCCACCTGCAAAGCACCTGTGAGTCCCTGTCCGGCACCATCTTTCAGCCTCGCCCTCATTTTACAGGTGGGCAAACAGCGGCCGAGAGCCGAGCTGACACTGAGAACCCGTGGAAGAACACCAGGCCAGCGGAGGGGGCGCTGTGGTGCTGCCTTTGGGTGCGCTGCCTTCTCCAGCCTCCCTCAACGCTCAGCCCTGGCCCCGCAAGGCCCGGCTTGCCTGGGGAACTGGCAGAGTCTGGATGCCAGGCCCCTGCCTCCTGCGGGGCCCCCACTGGCCACTCACTCTGCTCTGGGCAGGAGCCACCCAGCTGGCCCCCAACTGGCCCCCAGCAACCCCGTGAGCAGCCTGGGCTGGCCCCAGCCTCTGACCCCTGGGGTGCCATGGGTTCCCGCCAGGTGGGTGAGACCTCCCCACTACAGGCAGCAACAGATACTGTAAGCTCTACCCCCCCAGCCGGCCGGCCCAGGGCCCTGGAGTCCACTGGCCACACCCACTTCACCCATGGGAGCCCACAGGAAGTGGCTCGAACTCAGCCTTCCCCATTGTCTTGCAGGCATAATAGACATAGATTCCAGCAGAGACAGAGAGAAGACCCCCAGCCTCATTTCCTTGTTTTAGCGATTAGCGTTCCAACTGCTGCTCTATCTGGGCACTTGCTATCTACCAGTCCTGGCTCCAGGGGGCAGGCTATCTGGTGTTGATAGGAAACACAATGACTTTACCTCCTCTTGTCCTGAAGTAAAAGCTGGTTGGGAACTGCTGACCAGAGAGAAGGGTCTTACAGCCTAACAGGTGAGCCCATAAATGACTCCTTCCGTGCAAGTCAGAAGGCGGGCGTGCCATCTCCCAGTCACGGTCACCCCAGCTGTGACACAATGGAAACCAGAAACACGACCCCACGACCTTTGTGTTGTTTAAAAAAAATTCTAACAAAGAGAAGATTCCTCATGGCTCCTGAGAACTAGTGATTTCAGGGAAAAAAGAGAAATGAAACTTTCCTATTGATAATTCAGCCTTCAGCCCACAAATTTGAGTGGTAGGGATCTCCTCTAGCCTTCGCTCTATCTCTAGCTCTATGTCTCTGTCTGTCTGCTTCTGTCTTTTCTTTTTTTGGTAATTTTTCCTTTTTAAAATTTTTTAAGGTAAAGTATTCTCTTGTTTTCTGCCCCGCCTTTATCTTGTTAATAATCCCCTCTCCCCCTCCCACCCAGGCAGGAGAGGCAAGAGGCAGCCCTTCAGAAGATTCCTCATGGCTCCTGAGAACTAGTGATTTCTACTTTGTGTGTTTTTAAAAATAATAACTTTTTTAGTTGTTTTTTTCTTCTTTTTTTCTGTTTCTTTGTTATTTCTCTCTCTCTGTTTCCTTTTCTTTTTCTTTTATCTCATCTCTCCGCACCTCGATTTCCATTTATGGTGTTTCTAGATGGATCTAAGGGCACTGTAGCCAAACATCCAAATACTATCAGGGTTAACATAGTCCTCAGCATCTACAGAATCTGCTGCACCAGCGATCACAACAGGACGGCAAAGAGATTCCAGATCACCCCCTTCTGCACACTCCTGAACACTCAGATTGAACTTAAAGAGCTAGGAAGAAACACGCCATCCATCAGATGACTAGGAATCACCACAGGGTCACAAGAAATATGGGAAAGCAAGAAAAGACCTCTCCTCCCAGGGAAAAGAATAACCCCTCTTCATCCACAAGCAGTTCAATGGAAATCATGGAAATGTCTGATAAAGAATTCAGAACATTGGGAACCAGCAGTTAGCGTAATGGCTATGTCGCTGGACTCCCACGTAGTCGACCGCGGTTCGTGTCCCGGACCCGGTGGCTTAAAACTCACGCCGGGCGCGTGTGCGTGCGTGCCCAAGATCCCGAGAGGAGAATGGAGGAGAAGGGATTGCGGCGTGACCATCCCCCCTGGGGGGTGATTTCTCGCTTTCTGTCTCTATGTCTCTCTCTGTCTGTCTGGCGAGCGCACGCGCCCTACAGTGAAAATCTCTCCAAAAAAAA